TGTGTGCTTCTACACAAGCCTGTGGGGGATGGTGTGTGCTTCTACAAGCCTGTGGGGGATGATGTGTGCTTCTGCACAAGCCTGTGGGGGATGGTGTGTGCTTCTACACAAGCCTGGGGGGATGATGTGTGCTTCTACACAAGCCTGTGGGGATGGTGTGTGCTTCTGCACAAGCCTGTGGGGATGATGTGTGCTTCTACACAAGCCTGTGGGGGATGATGTGTGCTTCTACACAAGCCTGGGGGGATGATGTGTGCTTCTACACAAGCCTGGGGGGATGATGTGTGCTTCTACACAAGCCTGGGGGGATGATGTGTGCTTCTACACAAGCCTGGGGGGATGATGTGTGCTTCTACACAAGCCTGGGGGGATGATGTGTGCTTCTACACAAGCCTGGGGGGATGATGTGTGCTTCTACACAAGCCTGGGGGGATGATGTGTGCTTCTACACAAGCCTGGGGGGATGATGTGTGCTTCTACACAAGCCTGGGGGGATGATGTGTGCTTCTACACAAGCCTGGGGGGATGATGTGTGCTTCTACACAAGCCTGGGGGGATGATGTGTGCTTCTACACAAGCCTGGGGGGATGATGTGTGCTTCTACACAAGCCTGGGGGGATGATGTGTGCTTCTACACAAGCCTGGGGGGATGATGTGTGCTTCTACACAAGCCTGGGGGGATGATGTGTGCTTCTACACAAGCCTGTGGGGGGGGGATGATGTGTGCTTCTACACAAGCCTGTGGGGGGGGGTGATGTGTGTTTCTACACAAGCCTGGGGGGGTTGTGCTTCTACACAAGCCTGTGGGGGGGGGTGCCTCTACATAAGCACATGTGCAGAGATCAGAGGCAAACTTGCAGGAGTTAGCTGTCTCTTTCCATCCTGTGGGTCCCAGAGATCAAACTCAGGTCATCAGTCAGCTCCTTTATGAGCAGAACCATCTCTCTGGCCCTGCCTGTTTTTCTTGATTATTCTGGCTAGAGATCAGTTAGCTTCAAGTTTTAGGTTCTGCTGGATTTTCTGTTTTTTTCCAGTTTTCTTTTTTTTTCCAGTTTCAATTTCACTGATTTCTACTCTTTTTTTTTTTTAGTCTTTCCCTCCTTATGCTTTGGGTTTATTTTGCTCTTCTTCTAGGTACCTTTATTTCTTTTTTTTAATATAAGCATTAATGTTCTAAATTTCTCTCAAAATTCCAAATTTCATTTCCATCCAATAAATTTTTGATATGTTGTCTTCCCATTTTCATTTAATTAAAAATGTTTAACTTGGGGCTGGAGAGATGGCTCACTAGTTAAAAGCACTGGCTGCTCTCGCAAGAGGACCTGGATTTGGTTCCCAGCACCCACAGGGTGGCTAACAACCATCCAGGTACAGGGGATCCGTTGCCCTCTCTGAACTCTGTAGACACTGCACACACTAACATGCAGGCCAAACACTCATACACATTTTTATAATAAAGAAAAAAATCTTAATTTATTCTGTGACTTCCTACTTGACCATAGAGTTTATAAAAATGTAATGTTCAGTTTTCAAATATTGGGAAGGAAATAAGTTTTCTGTTTTTGATTTCTGTTTTAATTCTGTTGTTATTAAGCAGCAATCTTCATACGATTCCAGTTGTCTTAAATTTTTTGAGGTGGTCTTTTTAACCCAGATATAGTCTGTCTTGACAGTGTTGCATGTGCACTTGAAATGAATTGTGTTCTCCAGGACCAGGTGTACTGGTACACTCCTTTAATCCCAGCACTTCTGTGTTAGAGGCAGGCTGATTGAGGCCAGGCTGGTCTACATTGTGAGTTCCAGGTCAATTCGGGTTAAAGGGCGACCCTCTCTCAAAAACCAAAATGAACAAACAAAAAAAGTATAGTTGAATCCTTCTATGTGGTAATCTGTCTTCTAACTGATGTGTTTATACCACTTACTATTTAATCTGAGTGAGAGCATTCAATTGAAATCACTCTTCCTGTGTTCTTTATGTTTTTTTTTTTTTTTTTTTCCCTCTTTTGTTTTGCCTACTTTTAAAAAACAAGAACTTTTTATCTCATTTTACCTCTACTATTATTTGCGTGTGCTGTTGATTAAAGTGTATTTTTGATAGGTGCCATATGTTTTACAGCAAACATCTTAAAGTAAATACATTTTACCTTCAAACAGATTCCAAGCCTGGATAGCTTGGACTTCCACCAAACACTTCAGAAGAATAAATTCAATACTTGTTTTTCTCTGAGTGCTGTCCAGGCGTTATCCGTAGCTCTTAGCAACTTGATTGAGTTGCTAAGAGCTAACTTAATAAACTTCTTTTGAGTTTATTCTGTTGGAGCTTGTTGATCATCTTGAATTTATGAGTTTATATCTTTTGCCGAATTTGGGATGTTTTTAGCTATCATCCTTCAAATATTTTTTGGATTATACTTATTCCCCTTTCTTCTGAGATTTCAAGGACACAATGTTAATGCTTTTGAGATTGTCCCCAGATTCTTGAAGCTCTGTTTGTGGAGTTTTGTTTTGGTTTGACT